CATTTTCAGCAAATAATGCAGCGTTTTTGTCCCAAGATCAGAAACGTACTTGGACCAAGAAGGTGTGAGCTCGCACTGAGTTGGCGCATGCACTTGCTATCTCATGTGATCTTACAGCACGATAACGAAGTAAAAGACAGTGACTTACGGTCATATTAAAGCGCGTGGGGAGAGCCGACTGGGTAAACGTTATGTAAATTTAGTAGCTCTGAGAGAAATTGCTAAAAAAATTTTAACCTGCCAAGGGTTGCGTGAACGATGATATTTAGAAAGTTTTCGATATTCAGATATAGACTTAAAGTAATCAATAAAGAAGTTTTAGATCCATCTTATCATTCTTTGAGACCTTTATTCATGTAAAGATCTGCTTGTCTCCTGAATATCTTACGAAAAATCAAAACAAGTTGGCTCTTTATGTTAAATTTACCCATTATTTTCTTTTGCATTTGATTAAAGAATCCATGTGGTACCGCTCAGTGTCCTCCAAACTCACGATGTTATTCAGATTTTGAACACGAAACCTATCTCTGCGTTTGTTCACCGGGATTTACTGGAGACAAGTGTGAATTAGGTGAATGAGTGTAATAAGTTTGGCATTGCCTATCACATAATCCTGTTATCACTTCCTTCTTCGGTTTTCAAAGAGAGTTTTTTCGAAGAGCTTTATAGCATTTTTAAATTAATGAACACTCCTGATCAGTCACGGGTTGGAGAAGGAATATCAAATTGAATTTCATTGACTCAACGGATCAGAATGAAGGTAGGTTAATATTTTGTAGATTTGGACAAATTGCTGGCTCTTTTCGGTTTGCTTGAACGTGGATTTTTTCCAGTGCAGTGTTGTGAAGAATGTTTCAGCCGAAAACCCACAGAGTTAACTTGTACACAGGTATAGGAAGGTTTAGCAGTAGAAGCTCATCTTTTTTTTCCCGTTTAATGACATCGGTCATTACCAAGATAAGTTCGAGTTTTTGCCTTTGGACATACATTTACTAAAGGCTACGGGGCATGTTTTCTTTAAGCATCTATGGATTTAAGGATATTCTATAACAGCATTTTAGCGATGTGCCATCATTTAAGATATAAAGAAGAAATAAAACGAAAGAAGGTCCAAGAGGTCATCTTATGGACAAAAGTATTAATATTTCTATATCTAAAATATTGCTCCCTAAGCTGAGGCAGCTTCCAAAGGTTATGATGTGGAGAATCCAGCCATTTCATGTGAAGATGTCCTATTAAACAGACCGTGAGTTTATTCAAATTATTTAAATAGAGTAGTTAAAAAAACGAATAAAGGGTTTGGAAAAACTGATAGTAATCGTGCAACACGACAATCAAGGCCATGCG